GTTTAGGCTTTAGGCTTTAGGGTTATCCACCCCAAAGCGTCAAACCCCCAACAACAAAGCACAAGCCCTTTCCCCTTACTTTCAATTTCAAGCCCAAAACCTTACGACCCTCATCCTTGACCTTATAATACTTTTCAGCCTTACACCCTGACACCCGGTGAGGTGGGTACCCCCCTGGCTCCTGCCGCCGCGGCGGGCACGACGTACCTTGCGGGATTGAGTCTGTGTTGAGGGCCTTGGGGCTTTGGGGCTTTGGACCTCCGGGGCTGACCTAAGGGTTCTGATGCTTTGGGCCCCTGCAGGTTTGAATGAAGACAAACCGACATACACTTGTAAGAAAGATCTACCGATGTAGCTGACATTTTGGCGTCATCTAAGTCAATCAAAACTATTGGCGGGTACATTGTTTTGCGAGGCAGGGTCAGGGGCTCGAAGCAATGAACTTAGGTTATTGGGGTTTAGAGTTTAGAGGAGACGGTTTAGGATAAATCCCTAAACCCTAGACCCTAAACCCCTAAACCCTAAAATCTAAAGTTTAGGACATCAGGTTTGGGCTACACTGGGTAGGCATTCAGGGCACATGATTTGGAATTTCGGGTAGTTCCGGCTTCTGAAAGGAACCCCAGAAGTAGCAACGGAAAGGTATTCTACGTACTATACGGGCCTTAATAATTAGAACGGGATTTTGGAGCATCTTATACCATATATATATATATATAATAGAGAATCCCCCAAAATAGTATTTGTAATTATTTAGGCTCCTATTTTACTGCCAGGAACGGGTAGTTCGCACGTAAGAAACAGTCGGCACTGATAGCGCCCCTTCTAGACCCAAATCGTTAGCCAGTCGCTTGTGCCTGCTCACGCGCGTCCTTTCCGCGAACGACGGCTCCTTCCGTGGTGGGAATAGAGAAGCCTAAAGAAACAGAGTTATATTTCCCCAAGGCTCCATGTGCCTTCAAGGGCTCCTGTATAGGTACCTTAAGGCCTACGTCATGTTTGTAAACCTCAAGGAAGACCGACCTACGTATAACGTAGACCCGTGATTGCAAGAAAGAGCCTGTCTTTAAGGCCTCAAAATTAGGATTGATACTACAATCCCTATAAGGTGGGAGGGCTTATACATCGGGGGTCTACATAACTAGAGGAGGGCCAAGGGATGTTTGAAGATCGGAGCTGGGATTTCGATTGTTTGAGATGAAACTACTACAAGGGGTACTACGACAACGACGAACCTTTCAAAATGCAGGTTCTGAAGAAGAGATTGAAGCTCTGGAAAATTGAAAGTAGCGTCTGAACTTTGCAGGCTTGGAGAGCCTCTAGACTTACCTTGGGTTTTGCAGGGGCTTCTTGGGGTCTAGGGTATACTTGCGTTATAGGGGTTATATAGACGTTCTACTTCTGAACTTCCATCAAGCTGTCATTAATGAGGTATAGGACTGTTATTCTGCAACCCCCTAAACCTAGACTCCCCAATGCACTTGTTGGGTTCACTCATTTAACAGTTATCATCCTAAACCTTAAACCCTAAACTTTAAACCCGAAGCCATAAACTCTAAACCCTATGAACCATGCTCCCCGAAGCCTAAGACATAAATCCTGAACCCTAGACGCTTGCAACGAACAGAAGACAGAACTACGCTTCAGGATTTAGGGTTTGGGCCTGGATTTATGGAGCCAGGATTTGAGATGAATTTTGGGGCTTTTAGGGTTTGGGGTTGAGGGTTTAACAATTAGACTATGGCTTTGGGGTACCTGATACTATCACGATAATAAGGAACCCCAGAATAGTGTTGGTAATTATTGAGGCCCCGAAATTACACCCCAGTACTTCAATCATCAACCCAGGGTCAGGATTTAGGACTTGGGGTTTAGGGTCCTACCCTAAGGGTTTGGTGCTTGGGCTGAGGGATGCCGGGTTGCGGAGTGACTAAACCCTAAACACTAAACCGCTAAACCTTAAACCCCAAACCCTGACCTTAAACCCTAAACCCTAAACCCTGAACCTAAACCCTAAACCCCAGACCCTGAACCCTAAACCCTTAACCCTAAATCCTGAACCCTAAACCCTAAACCCAAAGCGTCTAGGGTTCAGGGTTTATGTCTTGGGCTTTCGGAAGCATGGCTCATAGGGTTTAGGGTTTAGGGCTTCGGGTTTAGGGGCTTCGGGTTTAAGGTTTAAGGTTTAGGGTTTAGGGCTTCGGGTTTAGGGCTGCGGGTTTGGGGTTTGGGGTGTCAGGTTTAGGGTTTAGGGTTTAAGGTTTAGGGTTCAGGGTCTGGGGTTCAAGGCTTAAGGTTTAGGGTTTAGGGCTTCGGGTTTAGCGTTTAGGGGTTAATGGGGCTTATAGGGCTTGTAGGGATTATAGGGTTTATTAAAGGGTTTATTTATAGGGCTTATAGGGTTTATGATAGGGTTTTCTTTAGGGGTCTATTTGGGGCTACTTATAGGGTGACAGCTGCCGACTGTCATCCACTGCCAGCCCTACCCTAAACCCCAAAGAATGTTGCTTTCGCTCTTGTGTTCAGCAAAGCGGGACAAACGGTTCAAGAGTACGCCGTCAACCAGGACGACACTTCTTGGTGTGTATCGGCCATGGGGGCCTGCTCCTCCGGATCCAAGATCCGCCGCCGTCGCGTGCCCGATACTCTTTGCAGGTTCCACCGGCCAAGCCAACCCGCTTCCTGCCAAAATAGTTGGGCACAGGGTCATCTGTCGATGCCGAACCGCAGGAGGTGGCGGTGGTGGCATCACCCCAGGCTTCGAAGACGTCGGGATGGATGATGCACCCCTTGTCCGCTTCCACCCCCCTAAAGCCGCTCGAAACGCACGGACTAACTAAGGACCATAAGGGCTCTACTAAGGGTACTTTGGGGCGGGGGCCTCGCGGTCACAAGGTTCATGTCCAGGATCCTGTAATCTCACGCGAGAAAGTCGTCTATGATGGGTTAAGGATAAACTCCGACACCCGAAAACCTCAAGCAAGCCCCTACACCGCAAACACGCACTAACGTAAACCCTAAACCTTTGATACCCTAAACTCCTAAACCCCAAACCCCAAAACCCTAAACCTTAAGAACCCCGGACCTCAAGCAAGCCCTTAACCCTAAACCCTAAACCCTAAACCCTAAACCCTAAACCCTAAACCCTAAACCCAAACCCTGAAGCATGACCTGGGCCTTCGCCGGAGCGACGGTGGATTGCTCCGGTGCCGGCGGCGTTGAGTCTCCTGCGTTTAGGGGGGTTTGGGGGGTTTTAGGGGGGGGGGTTCGGGGGTTTAGGGGGGTTTAGGGGGGTTTGGGGGGTTTTAGGGGTTTTAGGGGGTTTAGGGAGGGTTTGGGGTTTGGGGGGGGGGGGTTAGGAGGTTTAGGGGAGTTTAGGGGTTGCGGCACCAAGGAAGCAGAAGCTTTCAGGTTTATAGATGGTATATGTTTTTGCTTTCATCGGATGGCTTATAGGGTTTATGATTTTTGGCTTTTTGCAATTAAGTGATGGCTTATAGGGTTTATGATTTATGGCTTTTTGCTATTAACTGATGGCTTGTAGGGTTTAGGGTTTATGGTTTGAGAGCCTCAAACATCAGACCATGCTGCTGCAATGCATTGCACGTTACCTGCTACACCCTAAACCCCAAACCCCTGTGCGACGGGCGGAATAACACCAAAAGGCGTTGAGGCGTTGAGGTCACGACATGGGCCCGGCATCCTCCGTAACACTTAGGGTTTAGGGTTTATGGTTTAGGGTTTAGGGTTTAGGGTTTAGAGTTTAGGGTTTATGGTTTTGGGTTTGGGGTACAGTACAGTATATCAATACTGAGGAACTCTGAGGAAGGCTATTGGTAATTACTCAGAAACCCTCAACCCTAATAGCCCCTAAATCCTAAACCCTCAACCCCTAAACCCCCCTAAACACCCCCTAAACACCCCCCAAACCCCCTAAACCGCCCTAAATCCCCCAAACCGCAACCCCTAAACCCCCTAAACTCCCCTAAACCCCCCTAAACCCCCCCAACCCCCCCCCCCTAAACTCTAACCCGAAACCTGAATAGTGCCATAAGCTCTAAGCCCAAGTTTCAAGTCAGACGGATCAAAAAAAAAACTGCTTTTCGACTTGAGAAAACCCTAAGGCTCAGTGTACCCATAAGGGCACCTTTCAGGATTCTATAAGGGTACCAGGAGGGTTTAGGGTTTAGGGTCCAAAACTCTTTTTTATAGCATACATAAGCCTTAAGTGGGGCTCCTATATAAGTACTTCAGGGTCTGAATATCGGCTGTATATATAAGTACATGCAGCCTTGGGAAAACAGTCCAAGACTTACAGCCACCGGGCTTTTGCTGTTCGGTTAAAGCTTCAGCATAGCTCAGGACCCAACATCGAGGAGGAGGCAAACTGTGACATGTGGAGGCCACTAAATCCAACATGATCACAAAACCCTCAATGTTGTACATCCTAAGCAGCCAACATCGAAACCTAGACCCTGCGGCTTTACGTCATTTGCTGTTACAGTTTTGGGTGGTGCTCCAAACAGCCGCCTCGCTTCTGCTGCAGCTGGTTCGTGAGGAGCTGCTGCATCAGCCTTCGCTTAGGTAGTCAGATCGTCGTCAACTGCTTGAGCTTGAGGTCTTGGTGCTTAGGGCTTTCAGGTCTAGGGTTTAGGGTTTAGGGCCCTAGACTCCTTGTGGTTTGAGCTGGCACTTCGTACATCTCAGGCATACCCTAAACCCAAACCCCTACACCTAGATGAAGGTTGCAAGACCTACCCACTGATCTCGGGATTGAGGTTCTCATTCTGCTGGAGCTTCCGACTGAGTGTTTGGAATCCTTGGGGTTTAGGGTTGAGGGCTTAGGGTTTAGGGTTTAGGGCTTAGGGTTTAGGGTTTAGGGCTTAGGGTTTAGGGCTTAGGGTTTAGGGCTTAGGGCTTAGGGTATAGGGCTTCGGGCTCTTAGGGTATATATAGGGCTTAGGCTTTAGGGCTTAGGGCTTAGGGCTTAGGGTTCAGGGCTTGGGGCCTGAGGTTTAGGGTTTAGGGCTTTGGGTTTAGGGTTCAGGGCTTGGGCTGGGGTTTCGGGTTTAGGGCTTTGGGTTTAGGGTTTAGAATCAGAAGTGTAGGAACCTCAAGGAACCTCACATGGCATGCGGGGACCGCGGCTCTCAACAGCTTCGTTACATGCCACCGTCTCACTACTCTTGCAAGCGAGTATAGATACATCGCACACACACATATATATATATATAAGTATATGTATAGATAGATTCAGGTATAGATATAGATACATATAACGATACAGATACAAACATGGATATACATAGTAGATATAGATATACACCTATACATAATTAGACATAGACATAGACAGATATAGACATAAAACGATATAAATATTGGTCGAGATATACAATGAATCGAAATGCAAGTCTAGATCCGGATTGTTTACATGGATAGAGATATATTACAATGTAGGGGCCTTACTAATTAGAATAGGGTTTTGGGGTATACTATACTATAACTATAATAAGGAACCAGATATAGGCCTATACATAATTAGACATAGACATAGGCAGATATAATAGACATAAAACGATATCAATATAGATCGAGATATAAAGTGATTCGAAATACAGGTCTAGATCGGGATATGTTTACATGGATAGAGATATATTGCAATGTAGGGGCCTTACTAATTAGAATAGGGTTTTGGGGTATACTATACTATAACTATAATAAGGAACCCCCCAAAATACTATTGGCCATTATTTAGGCCTCTATGTTATTATATTGCCTCTCTGGCGGCTTTCAGGCCCCGAGTCCCACCTTTCTCAAGCCAAGCGACTGCTGCTGCTGTTTAGGGTTTAAGGTTTAGGGTTTAGGGTTTAGGGTTTAGGGTTTAGGGTTTAGGGTTTAGGGTTTAGGGTTTAGGGTTTCTCAAGCCAAGCGACTGCTGCTGCTGCTGCATCTGCTGCACGATCAGCTGCTGTTGGGCCAGCAGCGCGCTCTGCGCATCGGAGAACGGTGGCGTAGAGGCCCTCGGGGAAACAAGCAAGTTGCTCTTATAGGGCTCGGGGCGATGATCAACGAACTGTTCGAGTTGAAGTGTTCTGCTCTTGAACAAGACCGAAAAAAAGCAACAAAACCTAAACCCTAACTACACGCTAAACCCTAAAAAGGCTTTAAACCCCAAGATCCCGCGCCTTAAACCCTAAGAGCCCGAGCCCTCAACTCTGAACCCCAACATACTACGAGCCCGAAAATCCGAAAACCAACATCCCAACACACCAAACATCCCAAACGACCCCAACAAAATCCTGAAACGAAATCCCTAAACCCCCGAAAGCCTGAAAATGCCCGAGTCCTAATCAAAAAAACCCGAAACCGTCAACGCGTTAAAGGCTCTAAAACCCAAAGACACCCTGAAACCCTCAACCTAAGCCCCAAACGCCCTCAAAGCCGTAAAACCAACAACACACCCTGCAACCCTCAAACCTAACCCCAAAAAACCCTCATCATCAGCCCTAATGTAGGGGCCTTAGTAATTAGAATGGGGTTTTGGGGGGGCTCCTTATTATATTTATAGTATAAGATACCCTAAACCCTATTCTAATTATTGTGGCCCCTATATTACACCCTTATAGAACCCTTACAATAACCCGTATAGTAACCCTTTAAAAGGAACCCTGATCTAATTATTCAGGCCTCCAGAGTAAGCCCGAAAGGCCTTCATGTCCAAAAATACTAGGGATCTCCAGGGGGATCTATAAGGGCTCTATATAGGGGTTTAGGGTTTAGGGTTTAGGGTTTAGGGTTTAGTATAAGAGATCTAGAAAAGGGCTCTCTTAACAGATCCAGAAATACCGACCTCGACATCTCCGGCTCCGCGGGTCGTTGCCCGAGCCTTCGGCACTGTCGAAGGAACAACTTCCTAAACCCTAAACCCTAAACCCTAAACCCTAAACCCTAAGCCCTAAAACGCTAAGCCCTAAGCCCTACACTCCTAATGCCTAAACTCCCAAGCCCCAAACTTCCAAACCCTAAACCCTAAACCCTAAACCCTAAACCCTAAACCCTAAGCCCTAAAACGCTAAGCCCTAAGCCCTATTCAGGGCATTGGGGGTTTTGGATTTTGGGGCTTCATAGGGCTTCATAGGGTTTAGGGTTTAGGGTTTAGGGTTTTCGGGTTTAGGGTTTACGGTTTTAGGGTTTAGGGTTTAGGAGTTTAGGGCGCAGGGCTTCGGGGTCGGCATTTAAGGGTTTCAGGGCTTCGGAGTTGGGGGTAATGGGTTTAGGCCCCCAATCGGGGTTTAGGTTTTAAGGTTTAGGGTTTTTCAGATCTGGGATTTCGGGTTTTGGAGGTTCAGGGCTTAGGGTTTCAGGGTTTAGGGTTTAGGGTTCAGGCTATTTAACCCTAAACCATTAAATAAGGCTTGCTAGGGCAGGCTCAGGGTTGCAGGGGTTGAGGGTTTCAGCGGCTTCAGGACACGCACTTGGCGTCAAGGGCCTACAAGGCACCCGGGCATCCTTTAAACGGGTTTAGGGTTAAGTAGGGTTTAGGGTTTAGGGTCCCAGAAGGGATTCAGAATAGGTTGATGGTTTGGGGCGGGCTCAGCTTGTTTAGCTTAGAGGTTTACGAATGCGTGGTGGTGATGGTGGTGGTGGTGGTGGTGGTGGTGGTGGTGGTGGTGGCGGTGGCGGTTGTGGTGGTGGCGTTGGCGGCGGCGGCGGCGGTGGTGGTGGTGGTGGCGGTGGTGGTGGCGGTGGCGGCGGCGGCGGTGGTGGTGGTGGGTGTGGTGGTCGTTGTCGTGGTCGTGGTTGTTGTCGTCGTAGTAATAGTAATAGTCGTACTAGTGGTCGCCCTAGTACTCGTGTAATGGTACTCGCACTCGTGCTCGTCCGAATACTTGGACGAGCACAAGAACTACTAGCAGGAGCAGCAGCAGAGTAGCAGTAGTAGTAGTAGTAGTCGTCGTCGTCGTAGTAGTAGTAAGGGCTTTTAGGAAACTCAACGTCCGTTGGCTGGGTCAGCGGCTGACCCTTGAGGCGGCGGTTCTCGTCCTGGGTTGGGGGACTTGCTTTGGGCCCGGAAACGATCTACCAGACCATCGAATGTAGGGGCCTTAATAATTAGAATAGGGCTTTGGGGGTTCCTGACTATGATTAAACGTAATATAATGTACCCCAACCCCTTTGGGGTATATGATATTAAAATCCTAGCAAAGGAACCCCCAAACAGTATGGGTAATTCTTTAAGCCCCTATATTACCCAGCCCTCTCCCCATGGGGAAGTCAAGGAAAGCAAGATTCAATTAAAGGGGTCCATGTTGCACCCACCATTCCCTAGCTCTCATGTTTCCTTCGGTCACCTAACATGACGTGGATGTTGGGGTTGCTAATTTCCGTTCCAGGTTCATGCGGCTCTGTTGCCTCAACCCTGAACCCTGAATCACACTTTGGCTGACGGTTTTGCGATGTTGAGCTTTACGTCATCTGCCATCATCCAACCATCCAACAACTATGGTCCTATGGTCTCCCTGAGCACAGGCCACGCCGAAGTGAGGGTTAACACCGGAGGCCCCAACCACCGGAACGTACCGCCAAGATTCTGCGAAGTGCACGAAGAGCAAGCAAATGGGTTGCAGAACGCTCCGTCGAGGATTTGGGGGGAGTGCGGGCTCAGGGTTAAGGTTTGTTTCGGCTTGGAGATGAAGCACGTCGTAGTCTCTCCTGCTTCAGCCCCCTCGAAAATGGGAGGCTTGGCATGCACGACAAAGGCGAACATTGTGTAATCAAGCCACCCTAGACACCGCACAGTCAACTCTCAGGAGAAAACTGCGCCACAAGCAAATGAATCTAACTCAGAACGCTACATCCGTCACCCAACAAACCCACAAGTAAAGCACCAGAGCCTGAATGTCAAATCCCGGCGAAGCGGTGCTAAACCCCAAGAGCCCCGCAAACCACAAAACCTGCAACCTGGACACAACCCAAAGCGCTTCATGGGCGAAGTCCCCTTCTCGCAAGACATGCACTCACTGAGGGTCTGTCCGCCAAGCTCATCATTCGGCTCTTCAAGTCCTGGTGCTCGGTGTGTAGCCGTTTAGGGTTTAAAGATGTTAGACTTGATCTTTAGAAGTTTAGAGATTTTCAGGTTCAAGGCATGTCGTCGTTTAGGGCTTAGTGGTTGAAGGCCTGTTGCTTGAACGTTTGCCGGCCCTCGAGCATTGGGCTTACTATTCATTCAAGCTCATGACCAAACCCTACAGAAAACCCCACCTGTAACTCCAACTGACCACCGAAGCTTTTCAGCTATCCCATACCTAAGAAGGGTAACAACCCTAAACCCAAACCCCTAAACCCTACCTAAACCCTAAACCCTAAACCCTAAACCCTAAACCCTAAACGACTTGAACATTCAGGTCTACAGATAAGCCCCCGGTCGGGATCCGACAAGGGAGACTTGGAGGTGTAGCTGTACAGGGTTTAGGATGTAGGGTTTAGGGGTTTAAGGGTTTAGGGCTTAGGGTTTAGGGGTTTAGGGTTCAAGGGTTAAGGATTTACGGTTTAGGGTTTAAGGGTTTTTCGGAAGTTCTTTGCCAAATGGCCCCTCCAATACAACGACAACCCCTAATCGGTGTGGTAGGCTGAGCCATTGCAAACCCCAAGCCCTGCTTTTGCCCTAAACCCTAAACCTTGAACCCTAAATGCATTTTAGGGCCGCTTTCATATTACTGAGAACCGCGTGGGTTCCCCGTCCAATACCTCCGAAGCACGAAATATACAGGGACCTGAATAATTAGAATAAGGTCTGGGGGTCTATTGTACAAGGGGACCTGGAGAATCGTAGTAAGGAGCCCCAAGATAGTAGCTAGTATCTGTAACTATTTAAGCCCCAGTGATGCCCTAAAACCTTCCACTGCAGGCGAAGCAGCTTCCACTCAAAGTTGGGTCTGCCTGGAAATCCCCCCCTGTGCGCTCGCGTTTCTACAGTCTCAGGACTCCGGACACACACTGAACCTTCCTCATGCAATGCCGAGACCGCCCGCAGAGAACCTGAATTGTACAGGTTATCAGCAGCTGAAGTCGATACTCGTGAAATTGAGGTTCAGGAAACTCCAAAGACTCAACAAGCGTTGAGGGGAAACTGCGAAAACGCAGACCTCCACGTTCTCCTTCAGCTTCATGCAATCACCTTCGAAGAACAGGACTCTAAAATGACTCCTGAGGGCTACAGGGGTTGAGGCTTAAACAAGTTTCGTTAGAGTTAGCCTACATCGCAGAACTTTCTTGTGGGTTCCGAAGCCCTCTTCTAGAATTGAGCGAGAATCCCACGCAAGAAATGAAAGCTATGGATTCTGGTAGCTTAGGATATAGTGAGGGCCGCATCGACCCTGAAGCCATGGTGTGGGACTTTTTTCGTTTTGTCTCGGGGTTCCTGGGACCGGAGGCCCTGTTCATGCTCCAAGTGTGGGCGAACAGAAGCCTAAGAACCATAGTAGAAGCCCCGGTTCAGGGTTTAGGGCTTAGGGCTAAAGAGGGCAAGGAAACCTGGAAGGAGGGTCGAGTTCAAGAGCGTCGGGCTTGGAATCTCCATGTTACGGAAGTGCCAGCTCGCCAATGCAAAGCTCCGGAGCGATTCAGAACCCTAAACCCTAAACCCTAAACCCTAAACCCTAAACCCTAAACCCTAAACCCTAAACCCTAAACCCTAAACCCTAAACCCTAAACCCTAAACCCTAATTCATGCCGGCCGAGACCCCAAGGCCCTTTAGGCCCCAAACCGAAACCGTAAAAGCCTAAACCTGCAAAACGGTGAACCAAAAACCCCAAGCCCTAAAAAAAATAAAGCCCTAAACGCTAGACCCCAAACCCAAAAACCCAAACCCTAAAACCCTAAAACCCTAAACCCGAAACCCTAAAAATCTTAAAGCCCTACAACACTAAAACCTTAAAGCCCTAGAACCCTAAAATAACTTTAAAACCTCAAAACCCCAAAGCCCTAAAGCCGTGCCTGCAATCAAACCGCTGAGGCGCAGCTCGTGGATAGTGCCTTGCCCCGGAAAAACACATAGAAAGCCCTGTACCCTCATGGTTTAGGTTTAGGGCTTCAGGATTTAAGGGTTTAGGGTTTAGGGCTTTAGGGTTTAATGGTTTAGGGGTTTACGGCTTTAAGGTTTAGGGTTTATGGCTTTAGGGTTTAAGGGTTTAGGATTTACGGCTTTAGGGTTTAAGGGTTTAGGGGTTTTAGGGTTTAGGGTTTAAGGGTTTAGGGCTTTAGGGTTTAAGTTTTGGGTTCTAGGGCTTAAGGGTTTAAGGGCTTAGGGCTTTAGGGTTTAAGGGTTTTGGGCTTTAGGGCTAAAGGGTTTAACGGTTTAGGGCTCGAGGGTCAAGGGTGTGTATACAGTGCGCGCGCGGTGGGTGCGCCGTTCAGTTTAGGAATAGGGGCGCACCCACTTATCGCGCGAGTGCATCAGCATGCAGTCCCGCCCCAACCACCCCAACTATTCTCAATTAGGTTTTAAGGCTCGCAACCCCAAACCCCCTCAAGGGGGGCTTATCTTGCTTTCTGCTTCTTGTCGCAGTTCTGCCAAAAAAGGCGCCCCGGCCGAGTGTCCCGGACGAGGGGGCGACCTGTCCGATTTTGGTCCAATTTTGGGGCCGGGTTGGAAAAGTAACCAACAGGGGGTCTGGCCCAGGCTAGCAGATTCCATCGACTGGGACGGGACCTCCGGGCCGAGCATGGCCGGCCCTGGAAACTTCGAGCAGACAGACTGCGAGGAATTGTTTGTCGGGAACCCTTGCTTCTCGTGATCGAGGGGCCGCAACCCCACACTAATTCATCGCAGGCCTCGGTCGGAGCCTCGAGCGCCCATGCAAATGTTCAGCGGCGCTCTCGGCAGTTTAGGGCTTTAGAGTTTAAGGGATTAGGTTTAACGGTTTAGGGCTTTAGGGCTTTAGGGTTAAGGGTTTAGGGCTTTAGGGTTTAAGGCTTTAAGCGTTTTGGGCTTAGGGTTTAGGGCTTTAGGTCTTAAGGGTTGAGAGTTTTTGGGTTCAGGGCTTTAGGGTTTAAGGATTCAAGGGTTTAGGGCTTAAGGGTTGAGGGTTTGGGGTTTAGGGCTTTAGGGTTTAAAAATTTAAGAGTTTAGGGTTTGGGGCTTAGGGCTTTGGGGCTTAAGGGTTAGGGGTTTAGGGTTTAGGGTTTAGGTTCGAGTGGCAGCACAGTATATGCCGTTGGGGCCAAAAAACTACTAAGAGCCTACTGTAATGATACTTGGACCCTTTGGGACAGAAGACTTCAAGTGATCCAGCCGACCGTGAAAGCCACAGGGTCCATGTTAGCTGAAAAGGTAGCAGCATACCAACTATCCTAAATCCTAAGGCTTGAATGACATCCTGTGAACCGCAGACAATTATTAAACCCGAAATGCCGCCCAGTTTGAGGAATGCAGCCTAGAACCAGCACCTGTTCAGATTGATGATGATGGGAACTATTTGAGCAATTCTATCCTCGAGAGAATGCGGCTCAGAACATCCTTTCGCCAGACTTGGACCATAATGTATCCTAGGTTAAAGGAAACTACAGGTGGGGAGCTTAGTGGGCTTCTATAAGGCTTCCATACGGTATGTAGACCTTCTAGAAGGCTCCTGTAACGGTGACTACCCACCTGAAAATGTCCTAGACTAGGACTGGCTACGATCAGCTTTCTCACGAGTCTTTTGGCAACTCACGTAGCAACCTTACTTCCCGAACACCTCAGAGAAGGGCCAGGTTCCACCAAATGTCTGCAATCAGGAAAGCCGGGAACCCAATAGGTTCAATAGGTAGACCAGACGCCGAAACCACGTTCCCAAACCCTAAACCCTGAAACCCTAAACCCCAAACCCTAAACCCCAAAACCCTCTAAACCCTAAAACCCTAAACCCTAAAGCCCTAACACCCTAAACCCTAAAGCCTCATTCCTGAAGCCTACAGCCTGAAGGGTACTTGGGGAATTCGGCCCTAGATCCTACACACGAATTTTACATCCTAGACCCTTCTTCTAATTCTGATTCCGGCCGAACCCTAACAGTAATATTGGTATTCCGGCCGAACCCTAACAGTAATATTTTTTCCGATGGTGCAATGTCCGTCGCGAACGTACCACTAGCAATGAATTCAAACAGTGAAACAAACAACGAGCGCAGGCCGCCCAAGCGTCGAAAGGCCAGAATTAAGCCAATCGGCGAGCGGGCCTAGAAGGCTCTTCTTACCGGACAGGCGCAGGTGGCAAGGCCGTCCTAATCCGGAAAGAGAAATGGCGAAGCCCAGCCAAGCAAGCAGAAGTTGCAACCAGCGAGCGTGACTCTTGAGAGCACGGAGAGGGCAAGAGACAGGCTCCCAAGCAACAGTGACGCCAAGACGAGGTGCCGGAATACACAGTGAAAGGCCCGCAAAAGCCTGTTCAGCCGGAGGATCCTGCCAGAAAGTGGTCCGCATCGTGCTTGGCCGAACTCCTGACATAAAGTCAAGGGAGGCACTCCAGCTGTCATCTTCAGAGAGGAAAGGGAGATCAACCCAGGACGGATCGACAGGGAAGGCACGCAGCAGCGGAACAAACTCGGTGCTGACCTCAACGCGTCTGGCCCGAGAAGCAGAATCGCACAAGGGCTCAACCGCCTGTGCAACACAATCAAAGATATCGGAATCCGACGCAAAGACACCTGATCGCAGCTCTTGCAGCAAGTCAGCGGAAACATCAGGGCCTACCTCGGGAACATGCGTGAAATCCCCACCTCCTGCGGAAATGCTCTGGACATGCCCAGGCTCAGAGTCATCGACAGGGAGGAGAGTGGGGAGGTTTCTTTCAACCGCTTGGCAACATCGGACTGAGTCAATAAGATGCCGTTGGTGTCGCCGAAGCGTGGCAAACTTGACTCCGCAGGCGCGGCAGGTGAGCCCTTGAGCAAACCTCCGAGACCTTGAGCGATAGCCATGAGCTCTAGTGGCATGCGCTGACCAAGAGTGAAAGTCGAAGAAGGCAATGGAACAAATCAGGCAGGCATGTGTAGCAACTTCGAGCGGAACCGGTGGGGCGGGAACAGCCTCCCAATGCCGACGACAGAAGCTCTGAAAGGAAGCGACCGCGGCAAACCGACCGACATGCCAAGCAGTAGCACGCTTGATGAGTCCCCGGAAGCGCCTCTGCGCACGAAAGGTCTCAACCCAAAGATCCCACGTCTCATTCAGACCACGAAGCCGAGTGGTAGCTGAGCAAGCAGAGAGAAACCACCGCGCCGCCGAGCAAAAAGCAGCCAATGCCCGAGGAGAGTGCTGCATGAGGGCAAAGGCAGCATCAGGTCCCCCACGCACCAACTGAGCTAAGAATCGCAGCCTATCAGCTGAAACCAATCCAAAGAGGTCAGGCAGGCCAACTCCACACAGAACCTGCTCCGAAGTCCAATTCTGAGCAGCGTGATGCGGAATCCGAAGCATACCGCGAAGCATCGTGAAGTAACACGTGTCAAGGGCCTTCCAGCTGGACTTGCACATCTCCGGCCATGCGCCACATCCAGACAACATTGCCGACAAGACATGCGAGCGGAACAAGAGCACCCGCTTACCAACCGCGATGTGCGGAGTGCAAAACACCGTGGCACGGCCCTCCTTGAAGAGCTGCTTGGCGTACTGAACGCGAGCCCTCGCTTCAGGCAACATGGAACCATTGAATGTGAGCACCGATCCAAGGTGGCGGTACTGAGGCACAACATCGAGAAAGACAGTGCTGACATGCTCACATAAGACCGGCAGCTTGCCTCTGGCACGCGTGAAGACAGCCTCACGGGCAGCCTTGGCACCCGGTCCTCGAGGAGCAAGAAGAACCGAAGTCTTCTTAGGTCCCACGTTGGGCTTCAGACCATGGCTAAGGAGAGTATCAACAGACACACCTGCGACGTGCCTGGCAGCCTGCGGAAGGGCTGCTGCATCCCTAGCGAGCAAGCAGGTCGCAAGATCATCAGCATATACAACGTCCTGCACAGTCTCAAGCTGGCTACCGGCACGCCTGGCATCGTAAGCAATTGGACATCTGCTGCCGGACCAGGGAATGATGCGTGGTTGCAGCCCCTGGTCAGCAAAGTTCCCTCTGCGACCCAAGACCTTAGCAAAGAGCAGGCTGAACATGACATCAGCCCAGCTGGAACCGGGCCTTGTGCCCCGCCTCGTGCGTACTACCTGCGAGTCCTGGTGAAGCAGAAACCACGAGTCCGTGTGGAACTCGCGGGCCAAGGAATGGAGCAAACCCTCGCCATCCTCGCCGGTCAGGACCGGCTCGCAGGAAGAGTGATACTGCAAGGCCTGCAGGTCCTCGCTGGACAGGCCCAAAGAGGCAGCAATCTCCGAGATTGGGGCCGAATGCGTATCCTGCCCCACGAGGGTTTCACGAACAATTGCATAGTATGCTGCAGCCAGGTCACAGAACAAAATGCCAGCAGAGAGACCATGCTGCTGTGCGAAGTCCAGGCAAAGGCGAGTGCAGTAAAATCCCATGCTATGGCTCCGCCCCGCCCGACCGCCGAGTTGAAGCGGAAAGGCTCTCTTATCGAGACCCCTCACGG